ACGAAAAATCATGTTTTTAGCTTGTGGACACGATAGAGGTCACAATTTTTATCCGATTTTGTTAAAACTTGAAATGTAAGTTTATAACCCAAAGATCTTGGTTCCTTTCGATATTCGCGCATATCGGACCGTAACTTCCTGAATTATGGCCCCTGATTGTACGAAAAATCGCGTTTTTAGCTTGTGGACCCTATAGAGGTCATAATTTTTATCCGATTTAAAAAAACGTATTATTATATGACCTAAAGTAAAAAATCTGTAAATAGGCAAAGAAGACTGGGTATTTTTACAACGTTTCTATTGAGAAACGCAAAAACAACCTCGTGAGCTCCCTGTTGAATTCAATAAATATTTTCCTAGAGCCACTTTTCAAAGTATGCGAAATAGTAGCATAATTCTTAGCCTAACTCAAGGCTGAATATGAAAAACATGGACGAGTTCCCAATTAATTTAGCTGTGGTACCCCTACGGCGAAAGCTAATAAAAAATTAGTGCATACACGCCCATAACCTAATAGAGTTATTTTTAAGCCCTCGTTAGTTTAGGAAACTTTAAACTTAGAGATCAAAAGGGTTAGGAGCCTTGAGTCAATGCAAATAAGCATAATCATGACGGCAAATTCTTAGCCGAACATCTTTGCACACTTTTCGGAATAATCGACTCCGGTGCAAAAGATCGACTCCGGTCCATCTCTGACATCACATTTGCTCCGGTGCCCACAGACACTATATATAGAGGGCCACCGCACATCCTCATTTAAGCCTGAAGAGTTCGAATAAGAACGAAACTAGTAGCTGAGAGAAATCTGGGAAGGCTGTTCGCCTATTTACAGATTTTTTACTTCAACCCAACTGCGGAGCAACCTATTCCAAGCTATGGATTTTTTAAAAATCAGTGATTTCAAACGAGATCCTGGATTCCGAGTCTAACATCACAATAGGGGAAGTTCACTCCGTACCAAAAAGACTCAGGGTAGACTTAAGCTCCGAAAATCAAACCGGAGCAAAGTCCGCCAATCAGAAAGCGCTTGTTCTGCCGAAGTACAAAACACTCCGAAACTTGAACAGCAAAATTAGCCGTCTGGGTATTCAAATAGACTACCACCAGGCGTGCCTGGATAAACAAATGATACCGAGACAGTATGTTGCTTAGAAATAGACTATGAAAGCAAGAGCCAAAATCTTCTCAATTTTTATCATAAAAGAGGCTACCCACACAAAGTAGTGTCGGAAAATAAGAACAGGGCAAATTCTCTAGCCAGAAAAGACCTGTTAAACCCGACTACGGCTACCATTTTGAAAAAACGAAAGTTGCTCGTTTTTATCACGGATTATAATCCAACTGCTGTTCAAGTTAGCATGCTCATAAAAGAGAAATGGCATTTATTAACCAGATCGGACATGTGCCGTTCCATCTCAAACATCAAACCAATCACGGCATTTAGGAGGAATCCTATTCTGAAGGATACGCTGATGAAAGAAAGATTCATCTATCCACCACGGGACCCGCGAACCAGCGGAGTCACGTTTCAAAATCTATTCGAAAAATGTATCAAGAAGGACTGTGATATCTGCTACAAATTAGACCAAAATAACTACTTTATTAGTGGTAAAACTGGCAAGAAATATTCCTGCCGCACGGGCTATAATTGTTTAAGTAGAAATATAGTCTACCTAATAACATGCTCCTCCAAAAACAATAGGAGAAAGCAAACGTGTCTTTTCAAAACGAATAAAGGAACACTATGCAGCTATTAGACACAACAGGCCAAAGCCGGTCACACTACACTTCAACTTAGATAGATATACGAGTAGAAATGTTATGATTAAAATTATAGAGCTTTTTAAGACTGACCCAGATACGGCAAAAACGATGCCGTAAGGAAAGCCAATGAATTCAAATGGATTCACACTTTAAGAACATTCGCACCGGATGGCATTTAACGATAAGATGTAGTCCCGAGGGGTCCCCCACTTTATTGTTTACTCTTATTATATGACCGTTACACCCTAAGGATGGCTGAGTTCAAATTTCGTGGAAATCGGCCCAAAATTGACAGACAAAATGGCCGCCGTTCGTTCTCAAATAGCGTAAACATATCGTATAGCAAGATTGTAGACCCGATTTAAAAAAAAGTATTATTATGTCACCGTTACATCCGAAGGACGGCTGAGTTCGAATTTCGTGAAAATCGGCCCAAAATTGACAGACAAAATGGTCGCCGTTCGTTCTCAAATTTCGTAAAAATATGGTATATCAAGGTTGTGGACCCTATATAGGTCACAATTTTTATCCGATTTTGTTAAAACTTGAAATGTAAGTTTATAACCCAAAGATCTTGGTTCCTTTCGATATTCGCGCATATCGGACCGTAACTTCCTGAATTATGGTCCCTGATTGTACGAAAAATCGCGTTTTTAGCTTGTGGACCCTATAGAGGTCATAATTTTTATCCGATTTAAAAAAATGTATTATTATGTCACCGTTACACCCGAAGGACGGCTGAGTTCGAATTTCGTGAAAATCGGCCCAAAATTGACAGAAAAAATGGCCGCCGTTCGTTCTCAAATATCGTAAAAATATGGTATATCAAGGTTGTGGACACTATAGAGGTCACAACTTTTATCCGATTTTGTTGAAACATGAAATGTAAGTTTATAACCCAAAGATCTCGGTTCCTTTCAATATTCGCGCATATCGGACCATAACTTCCTGAATTATGGCCCCGAAAATATGGGCGTATCCTTCCTGGCAGCCGCTGGTTCAGTTTATCATGATATAAATATCCATGATATTATCGCGATATACAATTTCAGAAAGATGGGTTGCCAGGCAACGAAACATACGCCCACAGCATCTAAATCATCTGGGCAGTGAACAAGAGTTGTCACATATTTCTACTTGTCGGAAATGAAACATTTATGTTACACTAAAATCTGATTAAGAGTAACAACTCATTAAGTAATTATCAGAAAATCATGAGCATTTGTTTGGCCCATGCTAATGTTTAGTATACAAAATATTTAATATCATGGATTTAGCTGCTCAAGTTATCAAAAATCATTGAAAACCAATATACATGTTTCATTGCAAGACCTTAAACTCTGTGTATCAATCTAAAGTCAATCGAAACGATTCTATATAGGCGTAAACACCGTGTATAAATATAAAATCAATCAGATAACTATGGTCTCTTAAGCAGCCACAAGATTTTCAAAGTGCCATAACTCTGGCAGTAATTATGTTCTCTAAAGAAATGAAATGGGGTTTAACGTTCTACTGTTTTGCTCCGAACTGGGCTAATGAAGATGGGCATACGCCATACAATGTGCTATGAGGGAAATTTTGCCCGGACAGCAGCACTACGGCCTACTCTTATATCGAATTCCAACTGTCAAGGGATCTTTTACGTGCACGCCAATGTGCACACGGGACCTCGGTTTTTCATCTCATCTGAATGACTAGACAGCTGTCCTTGTCAGGCCCTCCGTCCTGCATCACTGACAAGGGGGAACCACGGCGGAAAATCTGGGTGAACTTTCTAGGCCAATGTGGGCGTATAAAAATCGAAATACCATCATTATCAACAATACTGGTAGTATTGTATCTTTAACACCGGTACTTTCGAAATTTTTGTCCAGGTCATATAGCCTAAACTAAAGCTGTCAGGGTATATTTAATACAATATCTCAGTTTAAATCATTAAAATCATGAATGTTCGATACAGTGGTGTAATGAATTCCACGGAAGAACCACAGATCAGTTTTAAAACTTGTACTATATTAACAGTATTTCAGTGGTGGGCCTGCAATTTGGAGGGAATTTGTCAAATATCCATATTGTACCACATGTGAAATGTTAATAATATACATGTAGGTACAATACTTGTTGAGAAAATTCACTTTAAATAGGGTCACCTGATATATTATGAATATATATTTGTATTTGTTCTCATGGTAGGACTGAATATGAAAGCCTTCATGAATTTTTAGATTTATTTTCAAATTAACTGGATTTTTTTTTATATATGTTAATGTGTCGATAAAGGTTTTAATTCAGCTAGTTATGCACTTATGGGATAACCTCTATGCAACTGATCTTTTCTTTTCAAATATTAAAGTTGTACATGTCGTGACAACCTGTTATTTTTATTAAAGCTAAACCCATTTCAGTTTTATTTTTCATTTCAGTATAATCTTGTTGTATTTTCGACCGCAGAACACAAAAACTCATCTAATAAAACAAATTTAATGACAACATATTATAAAACAAATCAACATATCATATAGACTGCCATTCCACACAAAGTAAATAAATATGATATTTATAAAATCTATTAAAATTGGAAATTTCTTGTTTAACCCTTAAATCAAAGAGCTTTGTTAATGTTATAGATATTTTTGCATTCATGTTTGAGGTGACTCCCATTTTTGTGTCTCAATGTTTCATTGTTGTTGAATATTTTGTCTAACTCATTGGTTTTAATCTTAAACCCCTAACCCTGAATTTATAGGTTTTAATCTTAAATACCTGACCCTCACCCGGCCTAACCCTAATCCTAAATTGTAAAAATGATGGAATGTAAAAGTGATAGAAATAGAAAAAAGGAGTTGGATCAAACATGATCTCTGATATTTTAATCTGTTAAAAGTTGGCTACACCTGTATTTTTTTAGAAATGTTCAAATAATTTCAAACTTGTAAGATTACAAAATAGGCCAAGTATTAAGTATACCGGTACATATACCAAGCTATTTCTATTCATAGTATATTGTATTGTACAGGGTGACATTTATTTTTGCAAATGTCATCATGATGATAGAAAACTGTTAATAGCAGGTACTACGATAAAAATAAATAAATAAAAACAACCGTAACTTCAAGGCCAAATATTAACTATGTGTTTGAGTTTACATTCGATCATGATTCAATACATTCAAATAATCAAAATAACATATTTAAAAAAATAATAAGACTTAAAAAAATATCATATCTACTTACTAAGAATAAATATCACCAAATCAATGTCTTGATTATCTTGACTTTCGTTCGTCACTAAACAGTAAATATTCTGACCTGAAACTAACAGGAACTGATCAACTTGCACTTTATCACGTACGATAGTCTCACTGAACCAGACTCACGGAAGTTTACGGAAAAGGGTGTTACGTCTGGTTAAGCGAGACTACGTGTATATGACGTAATGGATCGTGAGATATGGGTTCAATAACCATGCTTTTTCATATTGAAATGGGGGACGTTTGGACAATAAGTAGCACGATGTAGCCAGATCCACCAATATTTGTTTGCATATCACATTAATTAGTACTACTACGGTGGTTATTTTAATATTTGGCATATTGAACTGTTTTGTGTTATTCAATCGCTAAATGACATTCAAAGATTACCAAATTAAGCAGTTTTATTCTCCAAAATATAATCAAGATATTGACCCTTAAAAGGCAAAATCTGTTCAACTTGTCTCTTATGGACGGGACTCTTTTAGTTTTCAAGCGTTTGTTAATTTTATGGAATAATTTTCCATTTAGCATAAGATCATGTACACATCTCTGTATTCTTTAAAAAAATAAAATAATAACAACAACTAACACGTTTATTTAAACAAGCTTTAACTGACTCTATATACAACTGGGGCTTGTTGGTGAGTGTAGGGTCTGTTTCACGAAATTTTAACTATAGATAAAATCCAAATTTTAGGAATTTGATTGGATAATATTAGATTGATTTTAGTGCTTAGCTAATCAAAATTGAAGTATCTACTAAAATTTGATTTTGAATTTTATCTTTAGTTAAAATTTCGCGAAACAGGCCCCTGGTCCATTCTGCTTTCATCTTTACTTCTGTTTGTTCGTTCCTCTAGTTATTGGTTCTCTGAAGGAACAATCCGCAGTGCCGGGCTGTCAGGTTATTGACCGAGGCTCACACAAGTTCACGCCGAAGGCGCGTGAGCGTCCGAGGGGGTCTGGGTGGGTTCTCCCCCCAGGAAAATTTTGAAAATTGACAACCGCAAACCCATTTTCCAAGCATTTCAGACCAAAGCAGAAGAAGGCAAATTTTTTATTTCCTGATACCGTACAATTATAACAGAATGACCTAAGAGCACTATCATTAGATGAATTTGAGAATTCTCTTCAGTGTCAAAAACAAAAACCTTTTATTCTCCGTGATGAAAATAATGCAAATTATAATATAAAACGTCCACCATGACACTCTTTTAATTGCCTGGTCTCCAGGCAGAAATCGAAAGTGAAACTGAAATCCAAACTCGGAAGTGATTAATTTTTCGCGAAAAACTCAAAACTGGCAAGTTTTTGGCGATTATTTCGGCGATAATGACTTATGAAGAACTAAGTAGAGGTTAAAAGATATGAATTACACGGTTCTCGGTATAATGAGGTCGAACTCATAAAGTTCTTTCCTTGTAGTACACTTCTTTTTTTGTGTTGTTTGTCAGTCATTTTTTTTCCTTTCTTTTCTTACTCCTGTCCTCTCCTTCCTTCTTTCTTTTCTTTCCTCCCACTCTCCTTTCTTTATCTTTTCTTTTTTTTTTCTCTTTTTTCTTTATAGGCTTAGGCCCACTTTTTTTTAATGAGCTTAGGCTCAGGTGCACTGACAATTATTTCAATGGTCACTCTACAAACTGCATGTCAGCAGTTCAAAATACGTAATTTAGTTTTACAATTTGCAATTTCCATTGCTCCACAATACCAATGTCACAGTGTTAAAATACAGAATACACTTTTCAATAATATTAAATAGGCTACAGTTATTTTGTACATTACATTTCTCCGTTCTGCATTTTGCATAATAGACAAATGCATATAACTTAGCATATTAGAACATAGGCCTATACCTTATATGGGATCTACGACGAAGCTCATTTGCATACGGAAAAGAAGTCCGGACTAGGACGGAAATAAATAATTTTACGCAATCGACCTTGTCAGTAGAAGGGAGCGGTACTCATATTTACAATTGTACGGTTGCAGAGAAATAGACGGTTTCTACAAGTCAATTTTCAAGGTTTTTGGTCTATAAAAGTGGCAATTATTATTCAGAGAGAACGGAGATGAACTGGAGTCATGTAATACTGCTGGTGAGGACACTGGTCCCACAGCACCCCCTGTGTCTAATGTCCCACTCCAGTCTCCTAGATCAAATATGTCTTCAGACATGATGGATATATTAATGTTCATGGAACGACAGAGGAGAGAAGATCTACAACACCAGGAACGACAGAGGAGAGAGGATCTACAACGCCAAAGGGAAGAAATGTTAGAGATGTTCAAAACAGTTTCTTCACAACAGACAGCGACTAGAGAACCTTCTATTCGTCTATCACCAACACCCTCAAGACATGATTCCGATCATTTCTCAGATCCACATGTCATTGATCGACGTTACGAGCAATATCTCAACAACGCATTTGAAGCTGTGACCATTTTAGAAGCAGCAGTATCAAATTCGTCAAGCGAATCGAATATGGATTATGCTGACGAAAAGGCACAGATGAACGTTCAGAAACTATTGTCCTTTGTTGAGCAATATACCGTTCCTGAAGAATTTTCTCTGAAAAAAGAAAGCCGTTTACAGCAATCACAGCTAGTTGAGAAGAACTTTGACCGAGCTCATCTCTCAGCCAGATCTCGTATTCGTACTATTCAAAAGGAAGAGAAACAGAGAAAACGACAGTCGTTTTTGCCATCCTACATTAAAGTACCTACCTTTCAGGGTGATGTATTAAATTTTGAGTCATGGATTGCAGAGTTTGATCAGCTGATACATCTTAATCCTGACGTACACAAGCAAGTCAAGTTAAAGGCGATGAAAGAAGCGCTCAAAGGAGCAGCGGCTTCCACGTTGACCAATTTCGATATAATCGAAGAGAATTACGAAAATGCTTATACGTTAGTACGTAAACGGTCTGGAAGGCCAAGATTGTTAATCCACCATGAAGTGGAATCTATTATAAAAATACCTGAACTAAAAGATGACGCTACATCTTACAGGACATGTTTGGAAACTATCCAAACTCGTTCTATGAACTTAGAATCTCAGAAGGCGGACCGTGAGACGGTTCTAGTAGGCCTTGTAGTTCCAAAGTTCACAAAAACGCTTAGAATGTCTTGGGAAAGGCATTTAAAATCCCACATAGAGGATGATGCATGTGCATCTATAAAAGACCTCATTGACTTTCTCCAAGTCGAGACAGATCTTTTAGAAGCACAGTGAACTGGTACCAAACAAACTATTTATGGGCAAGAAGCAGCAAAGTGTTGTCAAACAACCTCAAGGCTCTGCCCATTCTCTACCTGCTACCACTGGTCCACCACCAACTAAAATTAATATTAGTAATTCCAATAGAACCAAAAAATCTAGTAAATGTTCCTGTTGTGATGAACCGCATGGTTTAGAAGTTTGTAAAAGATTTCTTGATTTGGACGAGAAGGATAGACTGCTTCATGTTTTCACTGCGAAAGTATGTCGTTCCTGTTTGTGTCCGTATACAGGCCCCAAACACACCTGTAAGAGGACATGTTCTAAAAGACACCATGAGTTGATCCACGATGGTTATGCAGCAATCCAAAATACAACTTTGCAAAAACAATCGTCTGAAACTAGTTCACCTCATAATAATGTTACCCCTGCTTCTCCAAAGGGAAGTAATTCTTTGCCTATGGTAATTAGTGCTACCACTAGTCATAGTAAACATAATCAAACTTATGTCGCACTTCCAGTACTTCAAGCGAAGATTACACATCGAGGTAGATTAGCTATTGTTAACATTGGATTCGACAGCTTTTCTGAAAAAAGTTTTATTACTAAGGATATTGTGGATGAGCTGAAATTACCTACAAGTAAAATAGCCCCTTTAATAGTATCTGGATTTGGTGGATGGAAGACTGAGCTCAAGGAAGCAACGAACATCGATCTAGTTCCAATTCATCAACAGGAAACATCAAATTGTTCAGTACCTGGACAACCCTTACGTGTACATGCTATAATCCTCAACGGAGATATTTGTGATCCAATTTCTCCAGTTCACTTACGACCTGATGCTGCTAACGTGTTTGAAAATTATCCATTAACACGTGCTCCATTAGATGGTCATGTCCGTGTTCATGTACTTCTTGATGCCCAGCATGTTATTTCAAACTTACAAATGGTTACCCAACTTGCAAAGGTGGTCCGTGTTTGATGTCAACACCATTTGGATATACCATAGCTGGAGCATATCGAAGCACCGCACATTTAAAGGCAGGCACGGTCACATCGTGTCTGTTATTATTACCAACTGAACCTCAACCAATCATGGATGAATACGATGATATAGGAGAGGAATTACCATTTACTTCTAATGAAACAAGTGTCTAAATTAAATACCCTATTTGAACACCATATGTCACTGGAGTCTTGGGGTCTCGAAACAACTTCGTCATTATTAACAAACGACGAGGCGCTTGCTGAACAGAAGTTTCAAGAAAACGTCATGTATGATCATGTCAGCAAACAGTGTGAAGTAGCTTTACCATTTCGAGATAATAGTCCACCTTTATCTGATAGCTACAACATAGTCCTCAAGATTATGTTAAGGACTGAGAAACAACCCCTGAAAAATCCCGAAAAGTTGAAGCGATATAATGAAGCCACGAACGACTATATTAAACTTGGATTTGCTAAGGAGTTAAGTGAAAATGAATTGAAAAGGGCACTTAGTGAAGAACATGTATTTCCCCCCCCCCCCCATCACCCAGTCCTAAAAGATTCAATATCAACAGCATTACGAGTTGTATTTAACGCGTCTCACAAATCGGGAGTCAATAAGCTCTCACTGAATGATGTACTACTTCCTGGTCCTAAACTACAACCAGACCTATGTCAAATATTACTTCGGTTCCGTTCGAATCGTATTGCAGTTTCCGGTGATGTGTCCAAGATGTTTCTTATGACTAGGTTGTCTCCGTCACATTGGAAGTACCAACTTTATCAGTGGAGAGGTGGTGACGTCACAATATCACCAAGATTATACTCAATGGTAACACTGATGTTTGGAGTTACTTTATCACCGTTCCTCGCCATCAGATCAATGAGACATCA